AAGAACGTTCAGAGGCATTTAAAATCCGGAGAAGGTAGGCATTGTTGACCAGTAACGCCCAACGACACAGGAGTGAATAGACTGCATGGAGAGATCCAGATCCCAGCAATTTTCTGCTATAATATTCTGACTCCTAAGAAAACAGAAATGTAAGGAATAAGCAGTAAGATGGGAATATTTTAATAATCTTTTGTCACTTTCTATGGAAAATATTCTGCTTTTCTGTGAATTAATTCGTCATAGGCTGTCATTTGGAAAGTAAAGTTTATGCTAATTACATGCCAGGAAAAAATCATGATGACCCTAATATAGATCAGGGCTTAAATTTTTAAATTTTTACATCATTTTGATGAGTGGAGCAAGGAGGGGCTGTGTCATGGGAAGGTGTGGGAGATGCCACCAGGGGGTGCTATACTCTGTTTTAACCACCCATTCATGGATTGGCAAGTCCCTTAATTCCCACTTGTAAAATGGGGTTAATGGTACTTATCTCTCAGATGGTCATAAGATTCAAAATGAAGATGAGTTGATAAACGTAAAAAATATGTTTAGGTACAAGGGACTATGGAAAGAGAGAAAGTAACATTTTATCTATTTGTGAACTTTCTCAAAAGCCAAAAGTTTTGGCTATGTGTTTTTGCACACCAAGCTTAATCCACACTTTGCTCTGGTTTAGGCGTATTTTCTGGCATGTTGCTCCCGTGGCGTGGGGCTCTCTGAGGCTCCTACTGCCCCTCTAAGCATTTATTTAATTGACAATAAGTTAATTAAATAAATGACTCCACATTGAAGATCCCAAGTGGATTGTGCCCCACCAGTAATTTATAAACTCTTAGCATATGCGAAGCTCTTGTAAACATTCAAACATTTCACAGATCCCCATGGGAATAGCTGTTGGGCTTGTCATACATATTGACCGAGAAAATCCACATGGACACATGGACTCCTGGACAACAAAGGTTCAGGCTCTGATTCCTACCCAAATGTCCATCTTTATTTCTCCCATTGTCATGAATATGGTCTTTGTGTGTAGTTTTAAAAGTATGTTTTTCTTCTCTCTTTGTTTAAATCCTCACCCAAGGATATTTTTTCCATTGACTTTTTCTTAGAGAGAGAGAGTGGAAGGGAGGCAAGAGGAGGAGAGAGAGAGAGAAACTTCGACGTGTGAGCACATCGACTGGTTACCCTCGACCCTTTGGTCTGTGGGCCAACGCTCTAACCACTGGCCAAACCGGCCAGGGCTGATTTTCTTCTTAGATACACGCCATAAGAAGCACCTTCCCATAGAAAAATGCAAATAATAAGTAGAGTGCCAGGAAAACCCATAAACGCCCGTTTTGCCTGTGCTGTTGCTCTGCAGCCACTGCGTGGCTGATACGGGAAGCCCAAGTCGTCCAGAAGAGTCCGAGCAGCCAAGAAGGCAGTGTCCCTGGAGGCTTTGTTCCCGTTCCTTACAGGCCTTTGTTTTCTATTTCGGCTTGAATTATGTATCTATCCATGCACCCACTGAAAATTTTTGGAGCATTTATATCTGCCAGACACTGGGGACAAAAGGGTGAGCAGAGCAGTCACAGCCCTACCTTCATGCGGGTGACATTTTCTCTCGGAAGAACTTAATTAACTGCAGGAGAAAACAGCAGCCAGACAGCTTAAACCCCGGCGAAAATAAGCTCAGCCTGGATGGAACAGAACGGAATGCGCCTTAATGAAGCCGCTCCCTAGCGCCCCCTGCTGCCTCCATCCTGCACGGCAGCGCCTCCCGCTCCGGCTCCAACACCACGCCCCGCCCTGCAGTCGGCCGAACACACTCCCAGGAGCATCTTCCTGGCTGCCGCCCGCATCTGAGTGGGACACTCCCTGGCTCCAGGCTCCAGAAAGGAAATGGAGATGGAACAAGGTCTGCCAGCCAATCTGAGGGAGCCAGGGTTTCCTCAGCGGGAAGGAGGTCTCCATGTCCAGGAGAATTCCAGGAGGTGGGGCTGCGGGGGAGCGGGGCTTGGCCCCAGAGGCTGGGGAAGGCAGGAAGGTGAGGAGGGCAGGCTGAAGCTGACCAGGTGCTTACTGCTGTTCAGGGGGCTGGGAGTTTCCTGTGTCTTGCAGTGAACCCTTTGCTCTGGGGAGACAACGTAATTCTCTCTCATGAAAGGACTCAGTTTCACAAAATCACCCTAAGGCCCTGGGGCGTGCACGTGTGTTTCCTCCACTGAAGGCCTCTACTTAATGGGAACAGAGGAAGCTAGCTCGTGTCCTAGAACATCGGTTCCTGGGGAAAAAGCAACCGGAGTCTCCTGTCTATACTGGGCAACCCCTGGGCATTGGGTGGACTTGGCTTAGGTGCAAAGGTGGAAATCCTCGGAATCAGGGGACCTCAGTTTTCCTCTGGCTCTGCCACTCATTGGCTGTGTGACCCTGGGCAAGTCCCTCTCCTTCTCTGGGCCTTCGCTTTCTCGTCTGGGGAGCCCTTGTGCTCTAGCATTCCGTGCAGGCTTTGCCAGGGAGGTGCTGAGGGCCCGCAGAGGGGTGGTGATGGGGGGCCAGCGCGGGAAGGCAGATGGGGGGCTCGAGCGGCCCTTATCGCATCAGGCCCCAGGGCAAGAACAGATGGGGAAGCGCTGCAATTGAGGGAAGCCCGATGAAGCCCAAAGCCACATTTTCTTCCCATAAGCATGTCCCCCGGGCTTTTGCCAGGAACCACAAGCAACATGGAGAAAGACTGGCTTCGAAAACTGGGTTGGATCAAGTCAAAACGCCAAGGGTTGTTCCACGCGACTGCCCTGACCAGCACCCACATGGCGCCACAGCGACCACTCACGTCACCAACCGCCTGCAGGTTGGGGGAGATAAAGAAAACGAGGAGAGTCCGGGCAAGGAGACCCCGCACTCGCTGAGGGGCTGCGGGAACGAACTGGGAACCCGCGGGGACTGCGGATCTGTGCTCCTGGATCACCCGAGTCATTGCTGTGCCGTGGAAAGGACATCAGCGACCCTGCGAGCGGTACCGAGCCAACGGCAGCAGCCAAACCGCCGCTTTACCTGGAGCGCTTTCCTCCGTGGGCCCGGGGCCCGGGAGCCACCCTTTACCAGCGAGGCCAGGCGGACCCGGACCAGTTCTTCCGACGATAACTTATCTTTTTCAAACAACCATTTCCGTCCTGTTTTTCTCTGACTCAGGAACTGAGAATAGTGCCCTTCCGTCAGCAGTAGGCACACACCCACTTGCACGTGTCCCAAGTTCAAGTCTAACTTTAGAACCAAGCGGATAAGAACAGGGTCTTTAGAGCAAGATGCACTTTCCCAGTCGCGAAGCAGGCCTGCCAGGCACATCCGAAATATTTACCTCCCCGAAATGAAGACAGTAGGTGACATGTTTACTTCACACATGTTGAAGATGTTATCAGAAATATTTACCTCACAAATATTGACGACGTTCTATGAGAGATTTACCTCACAAATATAGAAGGCATTCTATGAAATATTTACTTCACAAATGCTGAAGATTTTTATCAGAAATATTTACCTCACAAATGTTGAAGACGTTCCATGAAATCTTTACCTCACAAATGTTGAAGATGTTACTGGTATTAGACGGCCTAAATTGCTCCAAGGCAAACATCATTTTAAAAGTTACCGATGAGGCTACGTCCTGCGTTCTGATCTGCCCTTGGCATACGGGGTGAGTTTTTTTTTTTGTTTTATCTTTTTGTTTTTGTTTTTTTCCCCTTTTCATTTATTAACGTATAAGCAGGGATTATTAACCTCACGTTCAGAAAGCCCATACATTTGGACGGGGGGGAAAAAAACCCACATCTTTATTGTCACCACCTTCTAACTAAAATTTAGGCTTAGCATTTCGTTGCGTGTGGAGACAGCCATAAATCTGGCGTATCGGCAGTGCCTGCGACGGTCACCGGCAATGCGGTGACAGCACTTACACTCAAAGCTGCCTTGAAATTAGACCCCCCAGCCCTGCCAGGCCTGGATTTTAGACCTGTGCTAATAAAGGACAGGTATGTTTCAAATTTTTTAAATGTTTTGATTTTATACGTTTTAAAACATCTTCCTGAGAAGGGATCCAGAGATTTCCCTAGTGAGGTTCGTGGCCCTTGCACACCTGCATGAACACGCACACGCACACACGCGCACAGAGAGAGGAGACATGGTAGAAACTAACATGGGCAACGTGCCTGCAGCACAAGGCTCGCACTAGAACGCTCTTCCAGAGCCCTGGCCAGGTAGTTAGAGCACCATCCCGGCGCACCCAGGCTGCGGGTTCGATCCCGGGTCAGGACATACGCAAGGATCAACCAATGGGTGTAGAAATAAGAGGCACAACAAAGCCATGTTGCTCTCTCTCTCCCTCCCTCTCTCACACATCAATAAATTTTAAACAGCCGGGGACAAGGGAAGAATCCCGCTTCTGCTGCTCCCCGAAGCCCGGGGCCCTCGGCCCGTATGTTCTGTCCGGCTGTTGTCTCTGCCACTGCTACGGGGACAGAGGGACTGCGTCTTAGGCACGTCTGTATCCCCGGTTCCGAGCACAGTGCCTGACACAGGGCAAGTTCTCAACAAAGCGTGTAGAATAAATGGAAATACGAGCTGGAAATAAACCCTGCTGAACTCGGCACTCGAGTAGTCGTGTCGGAGGACGTGGGCACGTGTGAGGATGTGTGTGCCGGTCACGGCGGGGGGTAGAGGGATATTACGGGGACGTGTGATGCATAAATGGGACTTCTTTTTTTTTTTTTTTTTTTTTTTTTTTTAAATTCAAAACAGACTTCTGGAAGGTCATTTTCTAAGAGTCTTGCCGGCAATGTGAAAACAACCCTCCTGTGCGTAGCCCCACCCGGCCTCACGTGGCCACCTCTCTGCCCCCTGCGGGGCTGGCTCCCAGTATATATGAACCGCAGGGCCACCCAGCCAGGCACCTCTCCGAGCAGGAGAGCCTCCCAGAAGGAGCCTCGCCCAGCCTCTGTCCGGAGGACTCTGCACAGCACTGCAGCCACGGGCCCAAGATGCCAGCTGTCCAGCTGCTGCTGATGGCCTGTCTGCTGTGGGGTGGGGGGGCCAGGACAGCCCAGCTCCGCAAGGCCAACGACGGGAGTGGGCGATGCCAGTACACCTTCACTGTGGCCAGCCCCGGTGAGTCCAGCTGCCCCGAGCAGGGCCAGGCGATGACAGCCATCCAGGACCTGCAGAGAGACAGCAGCACCCAGCGCGCAGACCTGGAGAGCACCAAGGCCCGGCTCAGCTCCCTGGAGGGCCTCCTCCACCGGCTGACCTTGGCTCAGGCGGCCGGGCCCTCGGAGACCCTGGAGGGGCCGCAGAGAGAGCTGGACACCCTGATGAGGGAGCGAGAACAGCTGGAAAGTCAAATCAGGGAGCTGGAGACAGCCTACAGCAACCTCCTCCGGGACAAGTCGGTGCTGGAGGAGGAGAAGAGGCGGCTGGGCGCAGAGAACCAGGATCTGGCCAGGAGGCTGGAAAGCAGCAGCCAGGAGATAGAGAGGCTCAGGAGGGGCCAGTGTCCCCCGGCCCACAGCACCTCTCAGGTGGCACCACCAGACTCCAGGGAAGGTAAGAAGGTGACATCGTTCAGGGTGACCTGTCACAGGTGGTCCAGGCCTGCCCTTCCCGCCCTCTGCTCCTCCCAGAGGCAGCACATCAGCACCAGGCAGGTGGACAGAGGGGGGCAAAGCGATCTCTTTCCCGTTGCTAGTAATTTAACTCCCGATGGTTCTGTTTAGGTTCCTGGGGCCGGATTTTGTGCCTGCTCATGACAAAGTTTTCACAGCCCACAACCAAAGGACCAGGCGAGATGCACCTGCACATGATCAGTGGTAGGAAGTGCCAGCCGCCCTTTTCAGAAAACTCTCCTGCTGTGAACCTTTGTTCAGAGCGGCCGATTCCTATATTTGGGGGTTAACATGACCTCCATTTATGAAAGGGCAAGAGATTTATGAAATGATGATAGGTGGTAATTTAGTTAGTTAGTTAGTTTAATTTTTAAATGTCCTCCCTTGGCAACATAAAGAGGCAGTAACCCTTGGTCAGCTCCCTCAGTATGTTGTTTGGGATGTTTTCCTCCACTTTGTTCCATCTGAGAACCTGTGTCGAAGCCACCAGACAGCTCCTGGAGAAGTTGTGTCCTTCTGCCGTGCAACTCCCCTCGGGGCCCCTGCAGGGGGTTAGTCTGTGAGTGTGCACCAGGGAGGGGCCGGGGCACACTCTCCCCAGTAGTGCAGAAGACAGTATTTGTGTCACTTTTTGTGAAACTGTGTCCCCAGGTATTCGCTGTTGAATACGTCATCCAATCAGAAAACAAGTGAGTCGATCGACCCAGTTGTGGGACAGTTAGTCTGGACTCTGAAGATGCTAATGTCAAGATTGAAGGGGCCTGGAGAGACGCGGTGGCCCAATGCAGTGGTGACCCTAGACTCACTGCTGCATCTGGGGGAAAGAGCTACAGGGGGCAGGTTTGGGATTAGTGAGGAAAGCTGCATGCAGACTGCTGAGTAGGTGGTTATCGGATTCATGTGAGGTTTCTTGGGTGCGTTATGGCATCATGGTCAGGAGCTGTCGGGAGGGCTATAATTTACTTCCAGGTGACTCCGCAAAGACTGTAAATAGAGTGAGAAAATGAAAGGTAAAACATTTATGGCAAAATAGTAACAACTGGTGAATCAGCAGGGCAGCTGAGACCAGGTCCCAGCTGGTGACACCTGCGCCAGGAAGGTTGCCATAGCAATGGCTGGAAAAAGGTGGGCAGGATAGGCTGAGGCGGCAGGGACAACGCAGGTGCTCACACAGGTGCTTTGGATTTGGATTTCACCCCCTCCCCTACAGGATGGGGGTAACAGTCCCTCGAGGGAGGGGTTAGTGACCACGCAGGCTGGGAGTCATAGGGGTGGGTCTCCAGCAAGGAGCAGCCTCCTGGGAAATGGATTATAGCTACAAAGGGCTTCTGTTGCTTGAGCTGCACTGTTGTTTTAAAATGTCATTTAATGATCAAAATGTCAACATGTGTTAGGACAGCACCCAGGACAGTGGTCTTAGTCTTCTCTTTCCCCCAGTACTCCTGACAACCTGCAATTATGGGGGCACCCCAATTTCTCTTCACCCCATTTATACAATACTGCTTTCACTTGTCAGGCAGTGATAGGAAACAACTATAAAAACCATTACAATGTCACTTGCCTATGTTTATTGATATACAAGCAAGTTGATAAACTGTTTCTGGGTTAAGGTCTCTAGAAGGTGTCTATAAAGCAGAGGTGAGGGAGAAAGGGAAGAATATGCAGATTTTTCAGAATTTTGTAATAAACATGAACCTTTCACCCTAGCAGGACTGAGTTTTAATAGAAACTGAGCCCTAAACATGAACTGTCTGATACAATGTAGTCCTTAATATTTCTATAACCTTTTTATTCTCTGCCCCCCACATTCAGAATGATATGATTTTGAAACATTCCCAAGAAATTTTGACACATCCTTATTGAGTACCGTGTTATTTGAACTTTGAGCTAAGAATACTGAGGCTCAGAGAGGTTGAGTAACTTGCCCAAAGTCACATAGCAGGCACATGGCTGAACTGAGCTAGGAAGCTAGGAACTCCAGCCCAGTCCAGGCCCCTTCGCACCACCGCTTCCCTGCCCTCGGGCCTTTGGACCTTCGGGCCTTGCATCCGCTCCCACAGGCTTCGGTCCACATGCCACACAGCTCTACTCTGGGAGTCTGCCCGTTGCCAGATGCTCTGGCTGACACAACCATGAAGAAGCCAGCAGGCTTCTCATCCAGCCAACCCACCTGCCAACTGAGAGCTGGCCTTGCAGTCACCCTGAAAGCCATCCCCTGACATTTTGTTTTATTGTGATTCCTGTTTACTTCAAAAGCACATGAGGTGTGGTTCCTTCAAAGTGTGGTGGAAAAGGGGAAGGAAGGAGGGAGGGAGGGAAAGGGGGGGAGAGAGGGAGAGAGAGAAACATCTCTGAGGCTCTTGTAAAGTCTCTGGTAACAATCTGGGTCCACAGAGCAGATTAAGTCAGGGACATTTAATATAAAGAATTTTTGAGAGTATGTTTATTAAAGCTGGGGGCAGTGAAACAAGAAAGGGGTTAGGATAGAAGGAGCAACAGGAGAGCCTAGAAAGGGCTGCTTTGGATCTCTGGAAATGTTATAGGAAAGAAGTGATCCAAGGCGGGACTGCTGTCAGCTCACTGGGAAGTCAGAGAAAAGGGGGCCTTGGGGACAGGTTCAGGGGGTTAGCCCAGATGAGCTGGCACCACCCATTGCTCCCCCGGTTGCAAGTCGGTTACAAGTCTTATGGGGATCCTTAGAGTTTAGGAGATGCACGCCTTTGGAGGGAGAATAGGGGGAAGGGAAAGGCGCAGGCGTGCTCCCGGGAGGAAGAGTTCTGTAAGAATTATTATCGACGATAAAGGAGTAACCATGAGATGTAAGTCAATTCTACATGGCACACTCGGGCTGCAGAAGGACAAACTTGAAGGGGTTGGGGCCTCAGTAGGAAGGTGGGGTTCATCTCATCAGATAGTAGGGAAGGTGGCCAGAGTTGGTCCAGAGCTGCAAAGACTATCTCCTGAGTGCAGATCCAGCAACCCACAACCTGTGGCTGGGGGCCCAGTGGTATCAGGGACAGGCTACAAGAGCCCTGCAGAGCCAGGAGGGGTCCCTGTGCAGGGACTCTGGGTTCCAGAATGAGAGGGCTGTGGAAAGGTCATGGCTAGTTCAAGGTTTCTGGGGCTCCACCCAATGTGCTCACACTCAAGCTACCAACCCAGCTTCTGCAGGAGACTGCAAATTTTCTGCCTCCCACCATGTCCCTGTAGCTCCCTCTACTGAGAAAGCTTCACACCGCGCTCACTTCGAAGGAGAAATGCCTTGTTTTTCAGAGAGCATTCAGCCCGGAAAGGCAATACATTTACAAGAGACACACCACAACAGCGTGGAAGGGTTCACAACTGCCATGGCCTTGGCAGACACACGTACAAGTCCTAGGCCCACCACTTACCAGCTCTGTGACCTCGAGCAAGTTACTTAACCTATCTGAGCCTCAGCTTCCTCATTTGCAAAATGAAGATAATAAAGCTCACTCTCAGGATTGTTATGTGGAATAGACGTAATGACAGCAAGCACCTGGCCCAGAGCCTGGCTCCCAGGAGGCACTCAGGAAGAGGTGGAAATCATTAAATTAGGCGCAGACTACAATCTGAAAGCCTTATTCTAGCTCTGTATTTTCCTAAGACTTGTAAAGACACCAGATCACATCATTTATGTGAAACTGCTTTGAAATGTGGAATGACTGACAAATACCTGTTCATCATCTCTTTTTATAAAGAAGCTATATTTCAGTATTTCGGCGCCAACATTTTAGCTATCTTCAAGGAAGTCACCTGTGAAAATGCCTGTTTCTGGGGCTTTTTCCCAGCTTTATTTCCTCTGTGTCTAAAGAGGCCATTTCTCTTCTCAATTTTCTTTTCACTGGCTTGTGGGTGTATGTCCCTACTTTTCTCAATATACATCTTTTTCTCAGTAAGTCACTAAATGATATGACCATCCTAACTACATTCGCATACCAAGGCTGCCTCAGTGGGCTACACCTTTTGGCTGAAGGGTCTTCACGGCTCACCAGCCCACTCCAGACTGAGGGACATCCCCAGGCGGTGGGACCCACCTGCCCCTCCAGGGCAGTCAGACTCTCGCGCAGACCAGTTGTGCAGCTGCCACAGCCAAAGGCCGGGGTGGGGGCTGCAGATGGAGAGGGTAGTGATGAGGTGACCTGGCTGCCGGACCACAAGATGCCGCCCCCGGTACATCTCTCCTGGTACTTCTCTGCGGGGCCCCCTCCTCTCAGGATCAGTGAGAATTACAACAGTGTCTTCTCCTGACCTGCTGGCCTCACGATACCCGAATCACAAACCTGAATTTCAAAGCAGCTAAGCCTGTTCCTTGGGGGGGCTGCTTTTCCCTTGTATTCAGGACCCCCAGGTGACCTTAACCCTATGCCAAAGCAGCGATGTGTGACAGCGGGGTGACTGTCTAGCCAGTGTCCTCACACCTCTCCCCTCCTCGGTGGTTCTGACCCTCCCTAAGTTCCTGCGGGATTTCTGCCCTCTCTTCCTTGCCCAAAGCCGGTCTCAGGAAGAGATCTGACAGGATATTTCAACTGAGCCTGTAGAGCTTAATCCGCTACTTCTTACAGGAACATCTGACTTATGGCAAAGAAAAAAAAGCCCGAAATGATGCAGGGGACTGTTCCAGGGACCCCAGGAGCAGCCGAGGACCTTCCCAACATCCCTGAGTCAGACGCCGTACCTATTCAGAAACCAGACCTTCTAGTGGGAGTTATTTTAATGGTGTACAAGCTGTTGTTATTTTGAGTACCCTACTCTGTGCCTGGCACAGTGCTATGCAATTTATTACTTGTGAGCTTTTTATTATGGAATTTTTCCAACATTCACAAAAGTGGAGATAACGATAGGAACCCCAGTGGACCGATCTCCCAGCTCCGACAGTTGTCAGCCAAGTCCAGTTTTGTTCTCTCTCCCTCCCCGCATCTACTGTCTTCAAACACATCTCAATCATCATCACATCTTTGGAAGCCTATTGAAATGCCATCCCCAGCCTCACGGGCCATTGTTCTTCTTGGTACCATATTGTCTCTTTCCTTTGAATACAGTTTCTAGATGGAATTTGGAGAACGTGGACTTCCAGGAACTGAAGTCAGAGTTAACAGAGGTTCCTGCTTCCCGGATCTTGAAGGAGAGCCCACCTGGCCATCCTGGGAGTGAAGAGGGGGGCACTGGTATGAAGTTAAATGTATTTTCTGTTGCCCCTACGTAGTCTTAATCTGTATCTAGTCCTGTGTCTGCTCCCTCTCCAGGGCAAGCCAGCAGGAAGTCAGACTCCCCCCCAAAACTCTGTGTCTTGTCACCCCCACTTGGGAGAGTAGACTGGGCTGGGTGCAGGGGCTAAGATGAGAGGTGTGCCTGTTTCACCCACGTGACTGTCACATCAGCTTGATTACAATGACATTTTCCAGTAGATCCTTCATATCTTTATCTCAGGGCTTGATGGACACCACACCATCTGAGCACACAGGCTGTCACGAAAGGCAGCTTTTCTAAACTCCGGGTACTTAGGAAAAGTACAGGTACCCCCTCTAAGGTGTTCCCTGAGAGCCTGATGCTAAGACAAAGACTGTGGTTTTCAGAAACTGCGACTCTGTGTTATTGACAATTATTGCTAGGACTAAATGGCATGCATGGGGATGGGGCATTTGGAAATATTCAAAATATGATTCCCAGAGATATGAGCCCCTTCTCTAGGAAGTTTCCGCCTTCTCTAAGGAAATTGAAGCTTCCTGTTAAAGCCCAGAAATGTGTTGTGATTCCACTAAATCTAAGTTTTTAACCACCTCTTCATTGGGTGTTTAAAATTACATTCAGATTTTATCATATTAAAACAATGCCTGAGATATATGGTTCATCAGTCAGGGCTTGTAAAACTCTGTTTTATAGAGATTATTATAATGACCTGATTTTTGTCTCACTTAAAAAAAAAATGAGATGAATCAGACATGAAAGTCATAAATAATAATATAATGAACACACATGAGACCCTGGCCAGGGTAAGTCAAATATTATAAATACAGGCCGAAGCCTCCGGGGCAGCCTAGTGTTAAGGTTCAGTTCTGATCACATGATCACATAACACTTACTGACCATTTACTCTAACCAAGCACTTAACATGTCTAATTACACTGGAAACTTACAACAGCCCTGCCACCCAAAACACTATTATTATCTCCTTTACAAATAAGAAAACTGAGGCTTGGAGAGCAAAGTAGCCTATTGAAGGTCACATAGCCAGCGGGTGGCAAAGCTGGGATGTAAACCCAGACGGTCTGTCTCCGGGTCCCTGGCTTGTGCCAGCTCCAGGTTACAGACTGACAGGTGAGTCAGTGATTTTATGTTTTGTTTTTAATTCACCAGGATGCGGAGAACTTGTTTGGGTGGGAGAGCCTGTGACTCTGAGAACAGCTGAAACCATCACGGGCAAGTACGGTGTGTGGATGAGAGACCCCAAGCCTGCCTACCCCTATACCCAGGAGACCACGTGGAGGATTGACACGGTGGGCACCGGCATCCGCCAGGTGTTTGAGTACAGCCTCCCCAGCCAGTTCGCGCAGGGCTACCCCTCCAAGGTGCACGTGCTGCCCAGGCTGCTGGAGAGCACAGGCGCCGTGGTCTACGGGGGGAGCCTCTACTTCCAGGGGGCTGAGTCCAGAACGCTGATCAGGTACGAGCTGAGCACCGAGACAGTGAAGGCTGAGAAGGACGTCCCTGGCGCCGGCTACCACGGACAGTTCCCATATTCCTGGGGCGGCTACACGGACATTGACCTGGCTGTGGACGAGTCGGGCTTGTGGGTCATCTACAGCACCGAGGAGGCCAAAGGTGCCATCGTCCTCTCCAAGCTGAACCCCGAGAGTCTGGAACGTGAACAAACCTGGGAGACGAACATCCGGAAGCAGTCAGTGGCCAACGCCTTCGTCATCTGTGGCACCTTGTACACCGTCAGCAGCTACTCGTCACCTGATGCCACTGTCAACTTTGCGTATGACACAGGCACGGGGACCAGCAAGGCCCTGGCCATCCCGTTCAAGAACCGCTACAGGTACAGCAGCATGATCGACTACAACCCCCTGGAGAGGAAGCTCTTCGCGTGGGACAACTTCAACATGGTCACCTATGACATCAGGCTCTCCAAGATGTGAAAGGCGGCCATGCTGTGTCAGAAACAGCAGGAGGAGGCGACAGTCAGGGCTCCCGAGGGGCCAGCCAGCCAGCCAAAGCCCACACAGCTTTCCTCTGCTTCCCGAGCTTTCGTTAATCCGGGAGAATGTGCCTTGTCACTGTCACTGTGCCTGACATTGTGGGAATAGCCATCTGGGCACTTAGACAGCTTCACAACAGATATGCTTTTCTTTTGTCAGCTTGTAAAGGGATGCTTGGCCCAAACAGTTTAAGTGTTGTGGTGATGTGGGGCAAATGCTATAATGTGTAGTCATTTTTCATGAAAACCACAAGGCTTTTAATAAATGGCCTTTTCTGGCTAAAGAGCGTGTTTGCAGAAGAGTTTGGGGAAATGGGCTGGAGTCCAGGTGGAAGCCAGGGCCACCCCCTGCTCTTGCGTGCTGTGTGGTTCGCATAAGCCACGATGGATGGACAGCAGCCCCTCTGCGGGGAGAGGGAAGCTATGCGGCCAGCACTGAACTCATGTGAGATGCACTGACCACAGTTGGCTCCGCACGCTTCAGGTGGAGTCCAGGTGGGTATTACACAGCCTTTTCCCTTGCAATGAACTGATCACACACAGCATCCTCCTTGGATACTGTGGACTAGTTTGCCTAAGGGGAGAGTACAGATTCCAACCAGTCAGATAATCCCTTTGGGTGGGGAGCTGGGATGGCAGGATG